CATGCATCGGAGGGAAGCAGCTGCCACTCAGCCGCTCGGGGGCTGCAGCTCCCAGGATCGAGGGGGGCAGGGCTTCGCGTGCATCCTGCGGGTGGGGCTTCGCTGGTGGGGTTTCTGGCAGGCTACGGATCGGTGCCAGGCCATGGACCGGGGCTCGGGGGGGCCCTGGACCAGGCAACCAGGGTGCAGGAGCCTTCTAGAGAAGAGGCGCCTGCAGAGCAAACTGTAATATTTGTTTCTCGGAAGGAGCCGCGGCCCACGAGAGATCCAGGCCTTCCGAGTTTGCCAAGGCTGGCTTGGATTTCCAGGGGCCTAACGGCCGGTTGGGGCTTTGCAATCACAAGCAGGCTGCCAAGGGGGAGGCCAGGTACCTGCTGAGTCACTGCGGAGCTTCTGGATTCCCTCTGAAAGAGAGAAGCATCCCTCGACATCAGCCCCAGCCGGCGGCACCGTGGCAGGCAGGCAGGCAGAGGAGGGGCTGGTTGGGGGCCCCGGGGCCCCAGAGGAGAAGGGGCTGCCCTCAGCTGCCAGTGCCCGCCGAGTGAGGAGACCTTGGGTGGAGACGGGTCAAGGCTGCTGGGCAGGAGGGGCCTCACCTGAGCTTGCTCTTCAGGGCCACCATCTCTCTCCCCAGGGCCTCGTTGCTCTCTGAGGCCTCATCCAGCTCCCGCTGCAGCTTCCGGCGGCTGGCGTTGATGCGCTGGGACTCCTCCTCCGCCTCCTCCAGCTGCCGCTTCAGCTGCTTCACCCGGGCACTGGCCTTGTCTGCCGGGGGGGGGGGGGAGGCAGGGGCTTCAGAGCCAGCCTGAGAGGACCTAAAGCGGCCCCGGTGTTTCCAGCAGAGGATGATGGGAGTGGAGGCTCTCACTCGGCTCTGCCACAGCACGCCCACCTGGCCAAGAATGCCTACTGCCTGGCACAGCCGGGCACCCACCTGGTCCTTGTACTGCTCGGCCTGCTTCCTCTCGTCCTCCGCCTGCAGCAAAGTCTCCTTCAGCTTCTTGTCCTTCTGGCGCAGGGCCTTGACCGCCGCCTGTTTTTCCCTGCAGGAAGGCAGGAAAGCGCTCAAAGGGGCTAGTCCACATGAAGCCCAGTCCGAAGGCAGGGCACGTTCCTTCCATGGAGCCTCTGCCTTGGGAATGGCGTCCAATGCGAAGGAAGGAAAACTCAGGCATTTTAAAAAACATTTCCCAGTTTGGGTCAAATCGTTTCGAAATCGGCTGCTTGAATTTCCACGAAAGGGGATTTTATTGACTCAGAACGGAATACAATGTTTAAAAGGTGATGTGAAAAAAAAGGGGGGGGGCATTTTTTAGTTCCGCCTGAATGACTCAGTGATGGCACCTCAAAATTCTCCTAGGAAGTTTCCCAAGACCAGGCCTGGAGGTTTGGTGCCAAACAGCTGGATGCACACCTGGACCCCCAGACGGCAAAGACCCCGCACGACGCAGCTCTGCTCCGGGTACCTGGACTCCTGCTCCAGTTGCTCTTCCAGCTGGCTGAGTTTGGCCTCCAGGGCCGAGATGGTGGCCTTGAACTTGGACTTGACGGCCCCCTCCATCTCCTGCAGCTTGGACCTCAGCTCCTTGTTCTGCCGCTCCAGCTGCTGGCGGGCGCTCTCGTTCTTCTGCGCTGCGGCCCGCTCCGTGGCCAGCTCGTTGCTCAGCTGCTCCGACTGGGGGGGGGGGAAAGGAGGGGGATTTGCCGTCTGGAGCAAGTCCCGCCTTTGCCCTGCCCCCCCTCCCGCCCCCCCAGGGAGGGGGCTTACCTGCTGCACCGCCTTACGGAAGCGGTCGCTCATGGCCTCCATGTTGCCCTGCTCCTCCTCCAACTCCTCCTCCACCTGGGAGATGCGGGCCTCCAAGCGGCGCTTCTCGTCCTGCAGGCTGGTCCTGGGGGGCAGTTGGGGATGTTGCAGGGGGCCACCAGCAGCTGATGCCCCCCCCCCCCCCCCCCCCCCCCAGCTCCCAGGTCCTGCTCATGCAAGTGGCTCTCCTTTTGGCCTCTTACCTCCCCGAGACAGAGCTGGCCAGCTCTTCAGCCAGGTCCTCCTTCTCCTGCTCGGCCTGCTTCCGGGCCCGCTCTGCGGCAGCCAAGTCCTGCCAAGGAAGAGGCTCCCTGAGCGCCTCTCTCTCCAGGCGGATGGGACTCCCGGGCCCCACTTTCAGAACCGGGGCACGGCCACTTAACCCGGCCCGAGCGGGCTCGATCTGGTCGGGTTCCCCACTTGGGCACAGGAGAGGCCTCGAATGGCGGCTTGGCCGGGCTTCAGTCCTCCCCCAGAACCACCCCATGCAGAGGGCGGCCGGAGTGACTCGCGTGGCTGACGCAGAGCAGGTCTTTCCACTTCAGCCCTTCACTGCTCCTCCACTCACGTTCTCTCTCCCCCCCCCCCCCCCACACACACAAGCGTGTCCTGGGCGGTGGGTGTCCACGGAGCTCCTGGTAGAGCCGAATCCCCTCCAGGCCTCTCCAGCCTCCCACCAGCTCACCTCTTGCAGCTGCATCAGCTCCGCCTCCAGGTTCTTCGCTTTCTTCTCGTTCTCCCGGGCGGTGGCGAAGACCTCTTCCCGGGCGGCCCGGGCATCGTCCAGCTCCCGCTGGAAGTCCTTCATCTGGGCCTGGGGGCAGGGGCAGGGGGTCACTCCTTAGCTCAGGCCTTCCTCATGCATCGCCCGAGTCACCCCCTCCTCCCCTAGACGGCCCCCTCTCCTGGGACCAGTGGGGAGGGCAGGGGGGCTGTCCCCTAAATGCATCTGGAGCCACCCCTGGAGAAAGGGGGCGGGGGGCGGCTGGCCTTCCCAACCTGCAGTTTCCGCAGCTGCTTGATGGCTTCTTCGCGGCCCTTGACGGCCGAGTCCATCTGCCCTTCCAGGTCTTTGAGGTCCACCTCCAGCTTCTTCTTGGCGGC